TACAGTGAAACCCTTAATAACGAATACATCGAAAGAATTCATCAAATGTCGTATTCTTCACTTTCTGATAATGGAATGTTGCAGATATTTAGTTTTTTAATTAAATGATTATATGGAACTCTTTAAAACTGTTCCCACATATTCATGGCTATTCATTTATTTTCACAAATACTGAAATTTACGTAATATAGTATAAAACCCATTGAAAAATTGTCAAGACGACATTTGATAAATTCTTCCGATGTATTCGTTATTAAGGGTTTCACTGTGTAAAAAGCTAATTTTTGCATGTACTACGACTTCGTACATCTTTTAGCTGTACAAGGGTTTGCCCATTTGTATAAATAGTATAATAATAAATATAAACTATTTGGTCTCACACTTCAGGCCCTTGCTGACTTTTACGGGTAAGACAGAGTTAGTTGTGATAATAATTCCAAAAATTATGTGTATTTTGAAATTGATGAAAAGTCAAATTAAAAGAATTTTTTAACAATTTATCTCTAAAAATATGAATTTCAAAATTATCTTTATAGCTCATTGTAATCATACCATGCTACATTTATTGCATGACACGTGCTGGGTCGACTTGACACTGACTGGACAGTACGACTATTGCAGCTACCGGCACCGATCATGCATTTTTTAGACTGGGATAAGTATTGATTCTTTTAAAAAGAATATATGTTCGGAGGAAATTCGATAAACAGCAATAATATTTTTATATTTTTCTAAAGAACCCGAATAAACTTTTTGCCGAGTCAGCAGTTCCAGGTGACAGATACAAAACAAGAAACATCAATAATATTTTCACTTCAGCGGAAACAAGGTTTCACGAGGTTGGTCCAAATTTTTGCTCTCACAAAAAATGTTAAACAAAAAATTTACAAAACCATTTTTTGGGGGTATTGTTTTATATCTTAAAAGGATTTGTAATTTTTATTTTTATTTGCCATTTAACTTGTGCTTTTATAGGCGCCATTTTCATGGTTACAATAAAACAAATTTTAGCGGATTTGTTTGTCTAAATTTGTGGTTTTTTAGAACATGAGGCATTCTTCAGGCGTCCGTTTCCGTGTGCATACCTGTATATTTGGTTTGGTGTATATAAATATACCTGTATATTTGGTTTGGTGTATATAAATATACCTGTATATTTGGTTTGGTGTATCGTCTGCTTCAAGATGGCCGCCACATACTGTCATGTGTTCAGCCATAAAACCCTGAAAGTTATGTCATTTAATCTTTTAAAACAAATGCTTCTGCTTTAATTTAATAACCATTAATAAAAATTTAAACGTCAAATTGTGTTTGAACATTTAATTTCGGAAACAAATATCAATTAATCTTTGCTAAGCGCCAAGGAACAAACCAGTAAAAAAGGAGAAAGTGGCCAAAAACTTGTTTTGTGTTTTTAAAAATCTGTAATTCTATTGTATTTTCTTAATAATTACACTCTAAGAAATGTTGAATTGGAGCTGGTGCTCCAACAGATTTTGATAAATGAAAAATTGACATTTGAGGGTGTATGCATCTGCAAGTATAAAAATTTAAAAAATCTATTGTCCGTCCATTAAAACCTCCCTCCCTC